GCCACCAGGCGCTCGCATTCGAGCCCCAACCCCGGGCCTGGCTCCAGGGTGGGGCCCCGGCTGCGCCATGCCGGGCGACGTCACGGGACTTGATCTTGGTCTATTCATAAGGGGCTTTTGCACCGCTCTTAGTCTGACCAGTCACCCAGGACCTGTTTGCCTTGGGAGACCCTACCAGGGACATATAGCCCCCGACAACATAGCTCCTGGGATCACTCGGGTACTCAATAAGGTGGCGGTTCAAGGAGAGGTTCATTACATGTTCCAGTATTTATGGAGCACATTACTGCTTGCCAGGACTACAAAAACTCTAGATGCATACACACACATACACAGAGAACACACAGAGCTCCTGAACAACTATTATGTCATTATTCTCCATGTCACGTGCCCATATTTCAGTCTCCTGCTTGCTTTGACTGTTTTACACTCTACTTTTTATAGCAATGTTCAGCTGTGCTAAAAGGTTTGTTGCCATGTATATTTTAGGTGACATTTACTTCTTCTGTTGCTCCTGACAAAAGAGAATAACATCATTCAAGCTGACAGGAAATCGACAGAGTAGTGGGTGACTGACGTCTTCATCAATTTCCAGTCTGCCTCCTTTACTCAAGTGAACTGTTATTTCTTGTCATTTTCCACCTCATCTTTGTATTTCACACACGAAAAAAGTGTAGAGTCAACTTTCCCTGGACAAACGGGGAAAACTCTGAAATCAACCAGTCACTGGTTGTTTTGAATAATAAATCTACATTGTTAACAACCATATGAGCAAGGTTGCTTTAATGCCCTGAAACCATAGCTGCCACTGGTGTGGAAATGCACACCAGTGGCAGCTACAAGGACACATATTGACATTGTTGAAATGGCAAACGATTTCATTTCCATCTACTGCTCAGTTGGAAGCCTCATACAGACCCAGTGGGATATCTGACATGCTAGCAACCAATTACGATGGCCCACAGGGAGATAACAAGCAGGCACAGCATCATGCTTTGAAGGAGATGTTTTCTTCACAGTGATATTGTGTCTTTTCAGTCAGTACAATTACATAGAAGAACTGTCTACCTTTAACAAGGTAAATTGTCAGTTTATTATGGTTATTTATACATCATCATCTAGAAACTATGTAAACTAAACTTATTTCAATATATTAAATATAATATTAACGCAGAAAGGCTTAGGCACAGCACCTAAGTGTTTTTGTGGAGTACCTAAGCTGAATGAATGTAAAAACAACAGTGAGCTGTGCTGGTTTTTACCGTGAAGCTTCTGCCAGTAGTGCTGACTTTGCATTAACATTAAACTACCACTGACGTCAGAAAGAGACTTGACTGCAGCTCCAACAAAGTGAAGCCAACGAGGCTCCTATCTGTTAGATGAATAATAACACAATGTCTTTTAAATAGCGCCTTTGTCTTCCTGTCATATTATTCATAGGTTGACTATGACGTCAACACAGCAGGTTACAATCATGCGTTGGCCCTGCACAAAAGCTGCGTCTAAGCATACTGAATCAATGAGGTGCTCTGTGGCACAGCTGATGTGCTCTACTGTGTCAGAGCAAAATAAAGCAGAGCAGCACAGGATGTAAGAAGGAAAAGCACATAGCAAAAGAGAGTATGTAATCAGTGCTGGGAAAGGGAAGGATCTTACTGTTGTGCAGTGGTGTGGAGCTGCATCTGTTGTAGTGAGCTGGAGTGGGTGAATGAGCATTGATGACTAAAGGCCTTTGGGACCATTCTTCTCTGGCCAGGGCTCTGTGTAAGTGGTGGGACAGAGGAGTGTCTGGGTGGAGAGGACACAGTAGTACATTGGTCAAAAGAACACAACAGTTTAAGCAAATGAAAAGCAGCAATTGTCTCATATTCACTTTCTAATTCATCACATCCTAGCTACTGTGTGGCATATCAAGTGTGTGACAGGCTTGATAAGGCCAGCATGTGTTGCACTTCACCAAACAGGGAGCCAAAAATGACGGGTGTCAAGTGTATTTTAACTTTCAATAAGTCAACATTACTGATTTCTTTTACAAAAATAAATAAATAACTGGATTTTGTGAAAAAGGTCTACACCTTTAAATCAAACAAAGCATTTTCACTATGCTACAAAGCTATATTAAAGTTCCTCCTACCAAATGAAAGGGACAACACAGGGTGAGGTCTGGAGCTGGGGTTCCTGGAGGACAAGGCCCAACTGGAGCTGCAGTCAGGATCAGAACATAGGACTACAGGATCACAAGAGGAGCAACATGAACAGGAACACAATGAGAGAGAAGGGGAGAGGGTGGACTTCCCTGACTCCTGAAGCACAAGAAAGAGGAAACAAGATAGAGAAAATAAATTACTTAACCCATGACACTAAGTGGCCAACAGAGCATAGCTGGGACACAGCGTTTTATTATTAACTAGTGTATTAACTTGGCTCACTCTTTGTGTTACAATGGGGTATGAGCCATAAGGTTTAACAAAAGCTGCCTTCTGCATGAGCACACTGATTAAAGAAATTCAGTTGTTAATGGCTTTGTCAGCTGATAATATCACAAAAGTGGTGGCTTGGTGCTGCTTATTATAGTAGCTGCAACTGCTTTGGTTTCTAAGCCGTCCAGAATAATAACGTTTAAGTAGATGTTGAAACTCTATAAATATTCAGGCATTAGGCATCCACCGATATGCTGAAATTTTGAAATGTTGAATTTATACCTAAAAAAATTAACTTACTTCTGTTTTACAGGATTTTATATCAGCTAAGGAAGAACTACGTTAAAGGTGCATTCAGTAATATCTGACACACTGTTCTATAAGTGTGGACAGTGTGTCAGATACCCCCCGACATTCTGCTGCCTACGGTGCTTCTGTTGTTATTCCAGCTTCTCTTCCCTGTGTTTTCAAAATATGGTCTGTAAATTTGCCCCGCCTGCCACCTAGCAAAGAGTATGTTTTTTTTAACTGTGAATACTCATTTTAAACACTCAGCCATGAAGGACCTCGTCTGCTAAAAGTCTAAAACGGTATCTGCTACTGGGTCTCACTCAGCTGAAAAGAAATTAAGTAAAGTAGCTTTAAGGATTATAAAAGGGCAGCACGGTGGCGTGGTCATTAGCGCTGTTGCCTCACAGCAAGAAGATTCCGGGTTCGGAAGCTCGGAGTTCTGTGCGGAGTTTGCATGTTCTCCCTGTGCTTGCGTGGGTTCTCTCCGGGTACTCCGGCTTCCTCCCACAGTCCAAAGACATGCTGCTTAGGTTGACTGGTGGCTCAAAATTGCCCACATTAGTGCATATACAATAATATACTTACAAGCCGACTGAAACGCCACATTACCTTGGGTCGTGGGTGAAAAATAGCACCACACTGCGCTTCTTTTTCTTTCTCGGCCATCAATGCTGTCACACCCCAGTGTTGCTGACTGAGCTCAGTCTGAGCAGCAGAGTGACGATTGAGGCAGTGCTTGACTGAGGCTGCGCAGTAAGCCTTCGGATTTGACATCTGATAGGCTCCTGCCACAATCGTGTGACATGGAAGACCATCTAAAACACGTCCGGGCTGGTTTTCACACATAAATGTAATACCTAAAACTCTCAGAAGTGAAAACAAATTGCACGTTTTGTATTAGCACAGTGGTATCGCGATATTTAAAAAAGTATCGACTCCAAAATATCGACCACGGGATATCGAAGTACCGTTATGCCCGTCCCTATCAGGAAGGGCATCCGGCATGAAACGCTTGCCAAATGTATACATATGAACAGCTGATTCGCTGTGGCAACCCCAAATGGGAACAGCCAAAAGTAGTAGTAGTAACAGTAGTAGCATTAAGGATTATAAAACCATCTCAATTACAGTGACATCAGGGGTTTAAACTGATTCTCCTAAATGTGGGACTAAACTGCATATTCCACACAGATGGACTCAAGGTTCCCAAGTAGCAGTGCTAACCTATTCAATCCAGGTTAAAATATTTTATATGAAATATGAAATCTTCTGGCTTCTTGGAGACAGCACAACACATTGTAAACATTAGAATATTATTAGTGTATAAAGTGTGTATGACAAACATGTTAGTAATCAGTTAATTAGTAATCAGCCTTAAAATAATCCCATGTATGTTTATTTTCAAATCCAAGAGATTCTGTTGTTTAATTAAAAGCAGGTGTGTGGTTTTGATCATTAATTCCTATTTAATTTTGGGGAACTACTTAAATGATATAGCATTCCACCACTGAAGCCTGACCAGGACCTGAATAAGTGAATCAATTAAATTAACAGAAATAAATTAATGAGAAATACAGACATAGCGTCTTCATAGAGTACTCTATCATAAGAATGTGCACGTGTGCTTTCATAGTTAGGTTCCTTGTACTGTAAATGGCTGTATGGACAGGCTAGGGACTGGAGAAAAATGCACGTGGGCTACCTGTGGACTGCCAGGGTTATAGGTGTTGAAAGTGAACAGTCTGGGCTTGTAGTAGGTGACCAAGGGTCGGGTTCGAGCGCACACACATGTCACATCAGTCTTGAAGAGCCTCCTGTTCCCCAGTCTCCTTCTCTTAGAGCTCCCTGGCACAAAAACATCACCTCCTTTCTGACCCCTGCAGGGATTAGACCAGATGAGGTCATCGAAATGCCAGAGATATGATTCATGTTAAGATGAAGTCTTCAATATTGTTCATGAACACAAATAAGAGCAACATATAAACAGGGGTTGTTATTGTCCAGGCATAAACTAGGAGAATGTTGTTTTATTATGTGGCTTTCATCTTTACAGCCAACCACACAGAAAGAGTTAAAAAGGCAACAGGAAGGAAAGACATGAAGGAGCGATTCAAGTCAGGCCGGATGGAGGGGACCCAACTGTTTCACATGGTTACAGTATATTCCAGACAGGGAACATGCTTTCATCTTTGGTAACTTCTCCCACAGAAAACTATCAGTAAAAGATTCTCTTTCTTGTATTTTAACTCAGATGTGTTTTTGTATTTTATAGCAATCACAGGTGTTACTACATTACTCTATAATGACTTTCTTCCAATAGCAATTAAGATTGCGCCTGAGAGACTAATATGACCTTAACCCATCTGTTATGTTCATTTCTCAGGAACAGCAGTGATGTTCCTGGGATCATTTTACCATTACTAACCATTTCAATCACTATTTAGTGCAATGGTGTTCTTCACCTCTCACAGATTATGGTTCAATGAGGATAATACACTAATTTTTCATAAAACATGCATGTTAAAACTTTTTTTAATGTACATTGGAAAGACCTACATATAAAATACATTTTTACATAAAGTTTTTTTTTTATTTTACATTTTGAAATCTTTTCTTTTTATGAAGTGATGTTGACAAATTAACATGAGACACCTCTTCTGTTCAGGGTCTAACTGACCCAAACAGTATCTTATAAACATGCAGGGGGAGGTTGCAAATATGTGAAATGAACCATTTTCATTTTATATGTTGATTACACCTATTAAGCCAAGCAGAATAGGTTTCATACCAATAAAATACTTTTAACTATGGATTTTAGATTTCTTTTAACTTTACAATGGGTCAGTTGGACCCGCAGCATAATAGGAGGGTTTTAAGTCCAAAGTCTAATTATTTCAAATCGTCACAGGAATGAAATCTTTCTGAAATTCAGTGGTTCGTAGTGTTTGTGAATGTTCTGTGTCCTCTAACTCATGAAGGGCACAAATTATTGTAATATCGGTGGTACACATTCTCACTGTATGTGCTTGTCTAACCTTGGGAAAGTACTCTTGTCTTTCCAGGCCTGAGCTTGTTTTGAGAGCGGTGAAAAGCCGAGAGGAGGCATCAGACTGTTGACGATCTGGCTAAGCTGAGCACTCTGCAACGCATACATCGCCCATCATACATATCACCAGCGACAACCTCAGACTAAAATATGAAAGCGTCAACAATCCATCTCCTACTGTAAACAGAAACAGCAGTGGTTGAGTCAGCACTCCATCAACAGACAGAGTTGAGAATGTCTTGTCAGTGAAAATCTATTTAAATACAGTTGGCAGTTTATTAGGTACACCAAGACAGGTCTAATGCAGTCTAATACAACACTTCTGCAATAAATCCTCCCTTCATGAATCAACATTTTGGAGGTTGCAATGCTGTTTAATTGTATTGCGTTATAATGACACTGATCAAGTAAACTACATCCATTCCATCCTTAGTTTCAAAGTTAGCATAATAACAGGTCAAGCAGCACACACACTAATTTAATCTAACTAATTTAATCTTCTTATCCTGACACTAGGATAAAACATTGTACTGTGGATAATGTTTTATCAGACAATGATAAGCAGGAAAAGAAGGTAAAAACAGAATCTCCTGATATCGCTTTGATTCCAGACTTCACACAGCTGATGTAGGTGTGTGTACCATTTCCTTCCTCCTACCTGTCTCTCTATGTTGCGCAGAAGACGAGTGGGACTGCAGGGTTCGGAGTCAGAACCTGTGCCAGTGCAAGATAACCCTGCTACTTCCCTCAGCAGAGCCTGCTGAATCTCCCTGTCTGTCAGTGGCTGGGACTCTGCAAGCACCACACCGCCCTTAGACACACACATTACACACAAACACAGATTACAGGAGCTAACCATTAAAAACTCACTCTCATTTTGCAAGGTTGTCTGCTTTAGTTATAATAAACAGACCATTTTTGACTTTTAGATCCTTGCAATGAATTTGAATCTTTCAGTGTTTTATTATGTACAAGAATTATTATGTAAAGGTGAAGAACTGTGCTTTGTAGTTGATATTTACTGTGGTGGATTCTTGTTGAAAATGACCATAATTATAAGAAAAAATCTATTATACAGTATCTTTACACCAAGCTGACCTGATTTATCAAGATTTATCAAAAAAATCCTACATAAATGTCCTTTAGGTCTGCCACTTGTTGCATTGTGTCAACTGCTCCGCATTGGGGTGGACATGGAGGAGCATTGTTTCACCTTTGTAGAGCGGATATGCTGGTGAAGCTCCACACCTGCTGCCCAGCTCCGCTCTCTCTTCCAGCCATTGCCTCTCACAACTGCTACTGCTGCCAGGAGGGGTAGGGTGATGGATGACATAAAGATAGTTATGTCCATGTAATAGTATATTAATATTTTAGTCATTTTTGTAAAATGCTTTACACCTAGATCCCACCTCACAATAAAACAAATTCTGAATCCTTAATACTTTTGAATTTGGGTGGCAAATGCAAGAACGATTTCGGATACTAAATGCTGTCATAAAACCCAGTGTGGCCAGTGTAATGTAACCACAGGCAGGTGCATGAACAGGTTAACAAATGAGAATCACTGGCAGGAATATGAGTGTCACCAGAGAGAATGGTAACACAAAAAAGTGACAGAGATTGAGGCACACAGGGTAAAGTTAGAGGAGTCATTTGTCAATTCACACATTTGTACTGCAGCGCTGTCAACATATGACCTATTTTACACAACCATGGTGCCTTGTAATGTGTAAACTGTTTAGCATCCTAACAGCGTGGGGGTGGGGGGTGGATTCTGCAAATACACAAAAGCTTATCTAGGCCACAGACTAAAACACTGTTGATATGTGTGGTGTGTGTCGTGTGTCTATAGTATGTTTCCATGGCATTGGCTGGTTGAGGTAGCATTTATCCTCTGTGTTTGTGTGTGCATGTGGTTGGCTGACTTCAGCGGAGCAATAGTTGCTAAGGCAGTATTCTTGGACCTTGGCTGGGGCAAGGAGAGGCTGCCCCATTTCAAAAACTCTGATGCAGGACAGAGAAAGGTTGGGCCCATCAGCAAGCAGCCAACTTTACATTACCCTTTGGTATTTTAACGTTAGCCTGTTATGTGAAACACACAAAATGTGCTTTGCCTGCCTAATCACAACTGCATCCCGTTTGTGGTTGATATAAAGGAGAGGTGTGTAAATGAAAACAAGGCCTATAATTGGTTAATGAATGCCTCACAACTGAGTTCACACTCAACCCCAAGCCAATATCTGTTAAGGAGTAGGCTGTCCTGCACAGACAATGAGCCGACCTGGCTGCCCTGCAGCTCTTTCCAACTCTATAATGAGAAAATTCCAGGAATATTTTCCAAGTATCAGGTGACTCAGGATGAGAGGGGAAAAAAAAGGAGATGTTGCTTCAAACTTACAAATGAACAAGTTTACAAACTACACACTGTGTAGCCTAAAGATACTGACACAGAGACTTACAATAGCCTCCACAGTGAGAAGTAAGTTTTCTTAGCCAAATCCTGGGTGAATCAAAAGGCCAGCCCCAGCAAGTATGTCTGGGTTTATGAATTCCCCTTTTTGAAAAGTGTTTCTTGGCTCTTCAGAAGCATTAGTTTTTCTGGGTGTGTCCTACGCTTAAACTTTCCAACATTTAGTCTTTCAAAAGATCCCATACAGTATATTTAAATATACCAAAAACTGTAAATAAGCACCAGCTCGAGGTGTGGAGGACTGCTGCCAGTACAGAAAATGAGCAATGTGAACATGTGGTTTCAAATTCAAGTCAAACCATATGAAACCGCCGTGTATGCTTAAAATGTTAATGTCTCAGTTTCTCAAGGAGCGTGAAGACCTGCCTCCTTCCCAGCAAGGACACATCCTTTTCAAGGAGGAACCTGCTATAAAAACTACCCAGGGGAGATTCAGTGACAAAGCAGAGCACACTGGTCCATAGAGGGGGAGAACAGCCTTGGACAAAAGGCAAGCTGACACTTACAAGCCGACTGAAACGCCAAATAACACCATTCGAAAAAAACTGCATTCCTCGCTCCAGCTCTTAAATCAAATAAAGATGATTTGTTAGTTTACTGCACTGATTCAGGACTCAAAAGAAACAAACAGAAGTCCTGAAGAGTGGATCTTACTGAAGAAATGCATGCCACTGCACTGAAGCTAGACTTAATTGAGTCCTAAAATGCAGTGCACTGAAGCCAAGACCACTGATAATGAGTGAACAGCTTTGTTGCAGGATGTTGCCCTTCCTGCTTGAACACTGCCGGCAGACTGACGTCCCCACATTGTTGGCTGGGAAGCATGTTAACCTGGAAACATAATGGCACTAAAGCCCAAATGAAGCCAATACTGTAGTGTTTCTAACCAAGTCTGCTACAGTATTAAACAAGACTAAATCAAAGATTGTATATAAAACAACTGCATATCTGTAAAAGTCAGGTTAGAATAACTTTTCTAATGTGGAAAGCCTAAAGTTTATTTGTTAACTATCTTGTGACAAGCACAACAAAAAAAGGTTTAAACTAAGAAAACTAGAATGTCACCAAACACACACAGGTCCCTTTAAATATAAAGCTGCTACTGCTATTAGAGTTATATCTTTATTATCCCTCATCTGGGACAATACAACTCCTTTTGAGCAAGGACACAGTTACAGCGGCACCGCCCATCCAAACCACACATATACAGACACACACTTCTAAAGTATTTTTCACTAGACAGAGGAGGAGCGGAAGCACAATGGCAGAGTGGCTGGCATTCTGCAGGCTTGCTGGCATGTGGATTTGTACACCCTGTGGGTGAAGAGAGGGCTGGTTAGTCTGTTATGAGCGCAGCATGAACAGACAAAGGTATGTGTGTGCGCATGGCTCAAAAATGTCATCACACACTTCACAGCTGGGAGGACAAAACTGCGCATGACTCAAAAATGTCATTACACACTTCACAGCTGGGAGGACAAAACTTGCATTTATGACAACCACACAATAAACTTTGCAATGGAAAAATATCCATCTACCACAGCAGAGGAACAGTGGGACACATACACTGGGACAGCTGACTTAAACTGTCATACTGAAACAAGCCTTTATTGTGTGATCTTTGGTATATGTGTTATTAGATCCCTGCCTTGTCATAATGTCAAATAGACATAATTAAATATGTTCATCCTCTCTAATTTACACCAGCTGGGGATTTTCTTTTTAATCTACACTAGCTTGTTTGCAGTTCCTTGATTGTACTGAACTAAAGCTTGTTTAGTGTCAGAGTCTCTGTGTGTGTGTGTGTGTGTGTGTGTGTGTGTGTGTGTGTGTGTGTGTGTGTGTGTGTGTGTGTTGTCTGAGTTAAAACAAGGCCAATGACTCCAGCATGAACCACAGCTGGGTCTGGAAATTCAATCCTGAAACAGCACAACAACTCTTTTGGTAGTGACACGATGGAAAAGATGCCTTTGGCCTGCTTTTATTATTTTCACAGCAGAAATAGCAGGCAACTTAATATTTAACACTGTGTGGAACAATAGGATTCACTTCAACTTGATATTCAAAGTAGATGGTCCAGGGGATTTCTGAAGTCTCTACTTTTGAAGCTTCATACAGTAATAATAGCAAAACCCATAATGTGATATACAAGTTTAGTTGATCAGTGTGCGCATTTGCAGAGAACACATGCATTACATATAAACTACTTCTACGTGCAGGATACTTACACAGGTAAAATCTTGGTTTTATCCTCCTCCAGCTCGTCGTCTGAGCTGCTGCTGGCCGTGGCCTCAGAATCTAAGGCCTCCTGCAAACCTCTCAGCACCGCCTGGCTGGAGCGGCTTAACTCTCTGAGCTGTAGGTATGAGACTGTGGATGACCCTAGTTGAGAAAAATGGGGTTTACTGTCCAACTGTGAAGGTAGTACACCAGGATTTATGGAGTCCAGGTTGTCATAAGACACATCTCCAAGCTGACAGTGCCTCTGCAGCCCCTTCAGCTGCTGGTTGCAGTGCCGTAAAGCGTGCTCTCCTAGCAGGGCATGCAGTCTCCTCTGCAGCCTCCCAGCTCGGTTGTGCAGCCCTTCTGTCCTGGAGAGTTGCTCCTTCATGGCCTCCTCCAGCACACCTCTGGATGCCAGCGGATCAAAGTTCACTCTGTAACTGGAACACTGCACTGAAGCTGATGAAACACAGCCCATTCCTGCCACTTTCTCCTGTGTCACTGTAGGTGGTGATGCAAAGAAAGGTGTGCAGCCCTGCGACTTTTCCTCCCCAAGGGAATATAAAGGAAAAACACTGGTACGTGTAAGAGGAGAATGATGCATATCACCACATTCAGGAGCAGCACCGCAGCCATGCAACAGATAAGCCTCTTGGCTATTGTATCCAGGGACAAGGCCTAAAAACATGTCTGGTACACTTGGAAAAACGGAGACCACCTGATGAGAATCTCTCAGGCTTTTATTGCAGGACTGGAGGCTGAGGAGGGAAGCAGGACTAGGGAGGAGCACAGTCTCACACTGGCTGGCAGAAACCTGAAAACATGGGGAAAGCACAGTGTTGCCAGGGAGGTCCAAGGGGCTCGTCGGTAGGGAGGAGTCCAGGGAGGGAAACAAGGAAAGGTTCAGCCACATCTTCTGGGGGTCGCCATCCTCTGTTGGTCTCATGAGAGGCTCCAGCTCAGGACTACAAATGGGTCTCCCTTTGGAGTCCATTCTGACAGAGGCAGGAGGTGAGGACAGGTGGATGCCATGGCCAGCCTTCAGGATTTTGGTCAGGGCTGGGGCCATACCCCTTTCTGAACCACCGATGCTCTAGACAGCCAAGGCAACAGAGCTCACAGACTGCACCTTAAACCACCTGACAATAACAAAAAGACATGTCAGCAATTTCCTCTAAAAACGCCTTAAAAGTACAACCATGTTTCTACCTGAAAGGGAAATCCAAGATGCTAAAACGGGATTAGTCTTAAAATACAGAGCACCAAGATCATAACTAAAACCAAAAACAAAAGCGTGATGTTGACCATTGGAAACCTAACGTGTGTTGAACACACATATCGGGCACATATTGAGCTCGTTAGTTGTTTGCCCGGTGTGTTAACCGTCCTCTGCCTTTCCGTTAACGTTACATTTGTAAGGCTCCCAAACCAAACTACTGGTAAGACACAGACCCGCGTCGTGATTAACTAAGATACTTAAAAAGCTCCAGTATGAAGGAAAGCGACGATGTGAAACAAGACACAGTCCCAAAAGTTAACGTTTAGCGAACAGCCGGGTTAGATTAGACAGGTTAACGTTTGGTCGTAGTCACTTATTAAATATGTAACTTAACGGTAACTAAAGGCGGGAGCTAACGTTAGCTAAGCAGTATAATAACGGACGTTAACGCACCTGACCAGTAGGTAAACCACACACTTATCACCGCTTATTGTGTTAAAATCCGTGTCTGAATCTTCCCCCCCTTTGCTGATCTTTAACAAATCTAGCATCTAATGTGACTGCCCTATCCAACTGTCCAACTAGCTAGCCAACGGTGGTCCACATTTTACCCCGAATAACCACAGATCTTCCTACCGTGCAACCGACATCCCTCCGTCGTCTCCGTGAGTCGCTCATCAACTGCCGAGAGGACAAAACAGCTGAAGCAGGAGGAGGCTGGGCCAGGCTCATGATGCCTTCAGGATCTGTGGAGAGGCTCAGATCTCCAAGATGTCCCCCAAAACTATCTATCTATCTATCTATCTATCTATCTATCTATCTATATATCTCTATCTATCTATCTATCTGTCTATCTGTCTGTCTGTCTATCTATTTATCACAAGACTGATCATATTACAACAGTAGACACAAAACAATAAACCAATAAATTTGGTACACACTTCAGTAAACACACCATCCAAGTGTTATATAATCTAATCTAATCAAAACCAAAATACAGTTGAAATGCATAAGCAAGGACACTTTAAAACGATCAAGAATCACATTGACCAGTAGTAGTGTTTTAAGGTGGACTTAAACAGCAATCAGTTCTGATAGTTTCAGGTCCTTCTGCATATTATTCCAAGAAGGTGTGGTATATTTAAAGGCTTACTTTTGCCCAATTCTGTTCTAACTCTGGGGACCAACATCTGTAAAATGATAAACTACTAAAATTACATTTTCTTTACTACATTATGAAAAAAGCATGGTCTGTTATTCTGGCAGAGTCAATTTGGGGTGGGAATGTACTTTTCCTAGTTGGTTGGATATGAAGTTAGCTGAGAGGTTCAAAAAGGCAGCACATTTATGAAATAAAATCTGGTCATTTACAGCTCTTTTATTTTGTCATTTTATCATATAGGCTAATAACTGACACAATCAAGATTTAATCCCAAAACAAGTCTGATTAGAACATCTGATCACTTAGTTAGAACATCATCTCAGTTACAAAAATATTTCATTATTACATCTGAAGGTCATTATTATCATATCCTTGTAATTACAGATCTTGATTACTTAGCCTAAGTGCTAATAAGAGAGGACCCCAATGCTCTTTTGTCTTCTTTAAAAAATCCCCATGATGCCAGCCATTCATATAGCATTTGAAAATTCAAAGAGCGGCATGAAAAATGTAGGATTAAAGAACAGGCAGCAATGGCCTGAACCAGAGCTCAGGTGACTTTGACATAACTGCAGTCAGGTGTGAGCAGGATAACAAAACACTGTAACAAAACAAAATGTAGATTACTAGAAAGCTAGTTATTTACTCTATTAAGTATGAAGTAGCAACAGACAAATCATTTAAACTAGAAATAATGAGGAAGGAAATACACACATATGATTCAAACTCAAACATTTCAATGAAGAAATGTTTATGAAATATCATTAAATTTTAGGCTATACAAGAATTACAAAGGAAGCATACCACTTTATGTATTTTAAAACAAGCAGTAATATAAAACGATAAAATGCATTACTTTTGCAACTTGTTGATCAATGTTTTCCACAGATCACAAATATATTTTAGATCTTAATATAGATGCATTTTTAATATAACTGAGCTGAGAGTGTGTGACAGTGTGATAATTGTCTGCAGCGATAAATCAAATAGTGCTGCATGTAGACAATATCTAGTGACTGAACGGTGGTGGCACTTAAAACAAAAATTGATTGGGTTTTCATTTTTCTGGCATTTCTGACTAGCGAGCAGTGGCCAGTGATATCCAGAGCAAGAACACCAGAGACAAAGTGGGTTGTTGGACTGACTTCAGTAAATGTACATTTGTAGCAGGTTGCTTTGGATATCAGCTGGGATATGTTTATTTCAAAACAGAGATCTTTTGGCTTGCCTACTTTGCTGACTAACCAGTCAAGATGAAGGTCACCTATATGTTGATTTTACCTCACCAAACTCCTGGTCTTCTGGTTTGAGCAGCACTATCATAATCCTTACACAGACTGTTATACTTTGCACCACTGAGCTGCTCTGGTCCAGATGTCTGCTGCTCTCTGCCTGAAAACAGCCTGACCAACTCCCAGGTTGAACGTAGTGCCTGACATGTACAGGTTGATGACAGTGAAATCGACATAAGAGCCAGGAAAAGTGGTGCCATCACAAAAAAAGGCATATGTAACCCACACGGCGCAGAACACATACAGGACTCCCTGCAGAATGCCAGTGACAGTTACTCTAACCTGACTAAGGATCGTTGGACTGAACAGGGGCTGTCCATTTGCTACCATATGCTGCATGTGTTTGCACAGGTAGACTACAGTGGAACCACTGGACATCAACATAACACACAGACAGAAGAAGAAGTGAGCCTTGAGTACGTAAACCAGAACATCGGTGAAATCGGTCAGCCATTGCATGCTCTCAGCCAAAGTTTTGTCATGATTCATCGTGAAATTTTCAGATCCGAGTCCATCAAGAGTGAGAACGTTTAAACATGTGACAGTAAAGTCAGACAAACTGTAAATCCTCTCAATGAGCCAAATGCTGTACATGAGGGCTTTGATATTCTTCTTAA